ATTAGATTTTTACAAATTGCGCATGCAGTTGTGATACATACATTCATTCATTACATACATACCTCCAGACAAATTTGTCACACTAATTAAAGTTTCAACTGGATCAAAATGATATCCCAATAATAAAACGATAATATTAATAGTTGGCCACCCTATTTTTAGTACAATTAATTTAAAAGTTAAATGATGAATTTAATGCAGATCGTGTTACTCGAACCATGTAAACCATGTAATAACTTACAATCCGTAGGAACGTTTTCAATAATCCCAGGAGCACCAAACAGTTTTAGAATCTCTGACCAAAATTTAGCAAGGTTTTGAAATAATAATTTTCTGTCCTCTACATGCTTTTCAATTTCATTGTTATCAACATCAATTATCTCATAATTACTATCAGATGATATGATGCAAATAAAAATAGAGGAAATAATACGAAATAATTTTGTTATATCATTGTTTTCGTTATTCTGCTTGTTATTGTGTATTCTCAAACTTGAGAATACCAGCTATTTTGATGTAATAATAATAATAATAATAAATAAAATATGAATTGTAAAAAATTTTTAAAGAATGCGAAACAAATCACATGAGAAAATATTTACCAACAAAATTTGAACAGCAAACGAATTGTTAAATAAAAGATTTCCAGTTTTCAAGAGGTTACGAGTTTTTTGATTCGCATTGAAACAGAAATTTCCATTAATTACAAAAGAAATATCTAAAGGTTGGAAATCTTGAAACTTTAAAAATAACCATCTGACCATCTAAAAATAACGTTGAATTTAATAATATAATCCAAGAATATTTTCACTAGTTTGTATGATAAATACTAACCAGATTAGAAACAAATTCCTTTAAGCTCCAACTACCTTCACAAACCTTCCAAACCCAAGGCATAAATACGGAATCATAATTGAAGAAAATATTCTCTATAATTGAAATTTCGGATTTGTCGATAACATCATTAGGTTGAATTACTAAAGTCGATTGAAGGCTTGATATTATCTTTGAATATGTATGTGGTTTGAATTCTATTAAAAAAAAAAAAAGCCAGGGTAAGAATTATTTCAAAAAGTTGTGGACGAATAGAAAACAATTGTTTACCAGACAAATTATTACATTCAGCTTCGGAAATCTAATGATAGATAAAAGGAATCAATAAATAGAATTAATAATAATAATAATTATTATTATAATAATAAAGATAATAAATATAATAAAGATAATAAAGAATTATGTATTATTTTATAAAATCAAAAATATTTCTCACAATGTATAAATATAAAAAATGGATCATCGAAACACCATGAAGAAAATCCAACGAAAAATATTTTGTTATAAATCGCGTTAATGTTTGATATACCAATGGCGCAGATAATTCGGTGAACTTTTTTAACCTATTTATTGAAAAGGGGTATCGGAATGGGCTATACGTACAGTATGAGTGGAAATTAAGTACCAAAACCAAAACGTGCGCTTACATTTGATCCTCACACGAGAAACACACGAAAAATATCGCAAGAGCGACACGATCCAATTGTTGCTTCAAAGCAGTAGTTTCTTTAGTTGGATCACTCGCAAGCATGGCTAAAACATCATGTAAGTTGGCTATTAAAAGTGACATTATTATTAAAACATTATTATTAAAACATGATTATGATACATGTTAAATATGAGTGAAGATTACCGCTTACATGGTAAAATTTTAAAAGCGGCATAATCAGGAATTAAATTTCCCTGCCTGTTCACAATAGTTTGTTCACTTGTCAATTCTTGAAATCCAGCCAAAGTACGTATCAAAGCAATAAGAAATGGATCAGACACGTTTCCGATAGAATTGGTAAAAGTATTGAACTGAGAAAAAGTTGATTGTTGGTGTTTTTGATGTAATGCGATATCCACGAAACCGCTCACAACTATACCAATATTAAAATTTTAAATTACCAAATTCAAACCACATGATAACATGAATCGACAATAATAATAATAATGATAATAATGACACACCCAATTTTTTTGCATAAAGCTTTCTCCAGCAACTATTATCAGATTTTTTATTTACATTTAAAGCCGAGGGTATAGTAAACAACTTTGTTAACATAATTAAAGTCTCTAAAATAATAGGATCATTTATTACTACATAATTAGTAGGTCTATTGGTTGTTTGGAAGTCAAGATGAACCTGAAAGTTGATGATCACATACGCTAACTTAGTCATGTAACAAAAAGTAGTAAAATTGCAAAAAAGTAAAAAAAAAGTAAAAAAAAGTAGCAAAATTAGATACACTACCATAACTACAGGAATCACAACCTCGTCAAGAGCTCTAATAATAAATTGATCCAGTTTTACGAGTAAATCACAAAGTATGGTAAAGTTTTTAAGATTCTTTTCATTCAAATCATTTCGAGAAATTTCTTGATTCAGGCGTGAAATTTTTGATCCAAGAACTTCCAACATTATAGACACAACCTCTAATACTTTCAAAGATGAATGAATACAAATGAGCATCAATCATGTGACATTCCAAAAAATAATACTATTGTGATGGTGTCACAATACTCACGATGTGTTAAAGAATGTAAGCATTCACCATTCCATCGAATACGATTATTTCCATCATTCCAGGGATTTTCATAAAAATAACGAATCCACCAAACGGCACAGGTATTTTTTTTGTCACTGCCAAAATCATGATGTTGTAATAAAATTTCACCACCAATCAAATTCTCACATACGAACTGTGAAACGACACGTTTTATCAAATTGTAAATATCATCAATATTAGTTTCAGACACGGTATTTGTATTATCAGAGTTGTTTAAAATATGAAGGTTGACATGAATTCTTGAATAAAGAGACAAATTAGTAGCATTTTTAATGCCGAATTCCAATAACCAATCGACAATTAATCCGAATATCTTGATAAGTTGTAAGAATTGGCACCGTTGAACCACTTGAGCAGTGGGTGGATGAAAAGGGGTTGAACAAGATTTGATCTGACCTTTTTAGATAACAACATAATAACATGTGAGTTAAATTAAAAAATGACACACAAGAACAAGATAAAGCAAGAATAGCATTATAACTTTATTATAATAATAATAATAAAAAGAATATTTAGGGCGGAAAATCTGGGGATCACGAGAACCAAATTTAGTTTAACATATGAAATCAAGGGGTAACCATCTTCGGTAGTAAATTATAGGATTTTCGTGCATACAACCAAGACAAACAATAAAACCAAATAAAGTAACCTTTGAAGTCCTAATTAATTTTATTGCTACAAGAGGTAAGGCTAAGAATAATTACCACAAATAACACCGCATAAAGTTTGAATACCGTCAAAGAAAGATTTCCATGAATCTTGAAGATCTTTTACAGAAAGAGATGGAGAAGACATCGAAGAATCTAGTTCAGCGCACCATCTCGTCACGTATTCGGACCATGACGAAAATACCTAAAAATAGAAGTGATATACGGGAATTAATGACCTAAGAACGGTAATAACGGCAACAACGGGTAACAACGGCAAGAATGGTAAAAACGGCAAGAATGGTAGGGGAATGGTAGGGACGGACAGATCAACCTCTTTCAAAGTATCAAGAAGCCTATTTTGAGCATTTTGGGTAATATCTAAATTTAGATCCAAATTATTCATACAATTACTTTCACGAAGCAATTTTAAGAATTGAAATATTGAAACGAAGGGTTTGTGTTGCGATTGTACAGACGAAAACATGAGACAAGGTTGAAGAGGATCAAGTGATCATGATAATATTTAAAGTAATATTTAAAGTAATATTTAAAGTAAGATCATGATTATGAAGACAGATTTGGTATTTATTAACAAACAATCTTATGATTACGATCAGATGATGCATGATAATGACGAAAGTAATCGCCTGCAGGACGTAAATAATAAAATTAGAGATTTTTATTTCGGAATATATGAAGAGCGCGCGTAAAATAAGTCAATAATTGGCTTAATTGAAACATTTACACAAGACCCAATGTAAAAAGGGGAGAGAACGTGCTTATTGTTAAAGGGCTAATCATACATGACCTAACAATAATTATATTATTAATATAATATGTATTACCATAATCGAAACAATATATCGATATGATGTCAAACGAGATATGTAAGTCTGATCGTGGAACTACTGCTACCGCAACATGGCGCCAAACGTTTCAGCATAACTGCGTCAACGCCTTATCACTATATTCCTGTTTCGAATATGCTAAATCATGTGAATCGGACACACCCGGATGAGTAGTCTAGAGTAGTTTAAAGTGGTTTGGATACGTAGTATATAGTATATAGTTCGTAACCTAAAATAATTGAGATTATTGAGATTATTGAAATAATTGAGATAAATTGAAATAATTGAGATAAAATTGAAATAATTGAGATAATTGAAATAATTGAAATAATTGAAATAATTGAAATAGTTTAAATAGTTTAAAAAATAGGATTGTGTATTTACAATGGAAAAAAAAGAAACGATGTTTAAACAATGATGAAAGAGAAATCGATAACCTAAAATCGACAATGAAAATTTAAAATATATTATTATATAATCGCCGAACCTACAAGATAGAATAATGAACTTTATTCAATACAGCAATACTGCAATATGACCGAATACAGTACTATCGAATATTGTCGAATATTATCGGATCATTTCTAGTAACAGTAATGATAAATTAACATATTTGTTATTGCAGTATTGCTAGGGATGTTTGTTAAACGCACAAATGATACTGGTTGGTTATTAATTTAACTTTAATGCAGCTAAATCCCTTTTATTTTATTAATTTATATGATCGCGGATCTGCATTCAAAAACCACTCAATGTTTATATAAAGTCGCCCATCCCTGATATACAAAACCAAACAAATTCTTTCATTTATTAAAATTTTTTTCGTGTACATAATAACCTTTTCATTCGTGTATCATAAACTATCTTTTCTGTAAAACATTCTTACTATTTTTTTGTGCTTATTAAAATATAAATATATCAATCTTTGTACAATATTTGCAAAACATCCAATTTCTTCAAAACCAAAAAATAAAATTACTTTGTTATTTTATATTTCATCTCATAATGGTCTCTCTAAAGATGTCTCCAACTTCTTCGACTATTAGTGAACGAGACCTAAATTCTAAACTTACTGAAATATTCACTAAAATTGGGCAACTTGGAAATGCACAACAAGTAAGTTTTTTATCATTGTTTATTATCGAATTATTGTTGAATTTAATTTGCAGCTTATCTAATTCCTATTTTTGAAAATGTAGGGCATCCAAGAACTTTATGACTTATTAATAGAACATCCGGAATGTGACGTCAAAGTTAATGCATTTCTCGCTTCCGCTGGAACTTTCTTTCAAAAATATATTCGAAAGGCGCTAGCTGACCTTACTACTCAAGAAATGCAAAAATGCGGAATGTTGCCTAAAGAATCTCTAACTCCTTTAACTCCCGTATCCACGGCGAAAGACACTCCTTTACAAAAACGACCAACCACCCCCAAAAACAAACCTCCGCATAAATTTGCTACAAACCGTTGCTCTAATAGTATTGCGATAAATGCTATTTCGGCGAAAGACTTTTCT